CTGTGCACGCAAGGATGCCACCTATCGGACACGCAGGTGCCCTGATTTTAAACGGCTAACTAGCCAAATAGCCCAGTGCTCTCATATAGGCCAGGAATGGGATGCCTACCTCGTCAACCCACCATCCGTTGATATTCACGGCCATTTCACACTCATCTACCTGACTACCAACAGCTTCCCTACGTTGGCTCGATGGAAGATATCGAAAATCAATATGCGGTCGCTAGACTGTTGGTTGAATCTACTAGCGAAAGTCTCTGTGAAAGTGCCCCAAACGAAAGGCTGCACTATGAATGTTAAACTCGGAATAAACATCTAACAGGATGAATACTTTCCAGGTCGTCCCGAGGCTGTGATGCGCGTCGTCTTTTAAACTGGGTTACGAAAGGTGGTGCGTTGTGGTACGAAGGTAGCCGTCGATTTGAGAAAGACGCAGCTGTCGAAAAGGGCAAGATAAAGTGACGCATAACGATTTTGTCAGAACTTTTCTGTCGTCCGCATAGTTCGAAGGAAAGCGAGGGAAACGGGTTATAGGAATTGGTCCAGGCGATATACACAAGAATGATCATAACAGGCACCAAATTCACTCGAAGGCCACCGGAGAAAGAGAAAGGTGTGTTTATAAGAAAAAAACTTTTACCTAAAACGTGCGCCCTCTCCAAATGTATACGGGGAAACTTTTTGCCAGCTGTTTACATTAATGAATCGCCCGTTCACAGGAAGATTCCGCTGCAGTTCGGGCGAATCAATACTTTTTAGCGAAACTATGCACAGGCTTTCAGTCAAATCTGTGGCCGATGGCGGAATTGAAGGAACACAAAGACGCCCATTCAGGTATGAAGAAGGAGTTTTGCATCACAATTTCGTAAATCGGCTTAAGAAGTGATTAAAGGGTGGTGTGTCATACGTATGTCTCTGGGAACTCCGATCAGCTTAAACTACAAACGCGCCTTGTCCACCGGTGCCTCACTTCAGTTTGAACACAGACCAAATGTGCATCCGACCGGGGTACATTTATCACATTCCATCAATCTTTCTGTTTATCGAGGCTAAAGACACTGAATACAAGAAATACAAGCAATCCTTGGAAGACAATCGCGCAACAGTATTTCCAACGACGCAGCTGCTGTTGAGGGGTGATGTCGACACCTTTAAAGCAACGAGTACGGTCTCCGATGTCGAAAACCGCAATGATGAGGGCTGAAATCTAACTATCAACACAGTCCTTATCTCCTCCGCTATTTCTGTGATTCGTTGTCCCGTTGTCTTTTACTCTTTCTATCGGAGTGAGTCGACGGCGCACTATGAGTTGTTATTTGTGCCCTCATATCACCTAAAACTCTAGCTGAGAGCAGTTATACCCTGACGTTTTGACGAATACTTGAAGGCATTAACGCCCTTGCCACTCCTGCCGATCGTCTATGCGTCACCCCTTTTTGTCCTGATTAGCCTAAAGTGCTGACGGAAAATATTCGACTTACAGTGGCCAGTTCGCTTGTGCCTGAGACAACTATCAAGTGGCTTTTGTCAGCTCTGTTTGTGAAACACTGCGTCTTAGTCAATGTGCATATTCCGCGGGCGTTCGACGCACTTTTCCCACAAAAGACTGGGGAAAAAGTACACGTGTTGTAGTCGTTCCACTTGAGCTGACATTTTTAGGATGAAAAAGCCTCCTACTTCAGTTGCTTGGTGAAACATGATCTGATTTCGTGACCTCTTGGCGAGCATTCTCAAGTGAGTTTCCCCTTATCGCCATCCGCCGTTGGGAAAAGGCCTGAACCTATTGAGAGGTTAAAGAAGTCTGCGAGTACCGGACTGTCCCTGAGTGCGTGTCTTCGCAAAAGTACCGAAAAACATTCATACGGCGGGTTCATTTAAACAAAAACGCACAACTTTATCTCAAATGGCAGATTTAAGGTTTCACCAGAAGGGCTACAAAAAAGCGAATGATTTCTTACCCCTGTTTTTGGCAGAATCGCATGCTCTTACAAAAACAGGCAAAAAGGCACGCAATCATTTTTTGTAAACACGATCTATGCGAATGCTTGCAGTGTGCATATTTTCCCACGGTTATTTTGTTGCACGCAGTCCATCTCAACTCCGTCTGGTTACACTTATTTAAGCGTAAACTCTCTTAACTTACCAATTTTTCGGTATTTTGTGGGTACCACTGATTTACTGCACTTTTCTTAGCCGAATGATCCTAATTTATGTAACTTTATATGCCTTCTTGGTTGGGAGGATCATTTCCTGTCGTTTTAAGCTCTATCTGTGGTACAAAATAAAGGGCTACTGTGCCACATGGGTTTCTTCGTTTACGTTCACCTGTTTCGCGCAGGTGCGGCATGCTGCGACCCTGGTGAGATTGCTGATTGTAACCTACCACGTGACAAAGTAATCATGCTCAATCGATACTGCTGAGTACGCTGTGGGGGGGGGGGTAGCGGTAATTACCCTCACGCTAGTACCTCCTACGACACACGTGGCAACTAAACGCAGTTGGAAATCCCACGGAAATTACTTCTAGATCGTTCGGCGCCCTCGTCTTGGCAGTGTTCACATTTGATGAAAACTGCCAGCTACGATCGAAAGAAAGGGCCCTGAGTCCCTCCTTTGAGTTAGACTCCAGAGCGATGGTTAGAGAGACCACAAGTAGAGGCTGCAGGTGTGAGGCCTTTTTTGCCAATTTGAAGCAAGAATTCCAGGACAGTGAATGGGCAGTGGAAAAAGCCGAAGTCACGTCTTGCATTTGGATGTTTGAGACGCAGATGTTCCCGTCAGTACATTTAGGCCTCAGAGCCTGC